ATTTCTAACAAAATGGATTATGAATGTTTGTCTTTGTTTAAAGTATTGATTACAAGTTGCTATGGATAATAGTCAGGAAAAAAGCTAAGCAAAGGAAATTAGATTCAGAGTTTTTGTTTTGAAAAAATGGGGGGGGGGGATGTGGGAAGGACTGTGTGACAATGGTCTTCTATCCTGTAAAGGTTTGTTGCTTGAATTGCTTTAATAAAATGCTGATTGGCCAGTAGCCAGGCAGGAAGTATAGGTGGGGCAACCAGAACAGGAGAATTATGGAAAGAGAAAAGGCTGAGTCAGCAATCATCACCCAGACACAGGAATCAAGATGAGAATGCCTCACTGATAAAAGTACCAAACCACGTGGCTGACACAGACAAGAATTATGGGTTAATTTAAGATGTAAGAATTAGTTAATAAGGAACCTGAGCTAATACAGTTTATAATTAATGTAAACCTCTGTGTGTTTCTTTGGGACTGAATGGCTACAGGACAGGGAGGGACAGAAATCTCTGTCAACAAGCACCCACATAAAAAGCAAGACATGGTTGTAAGTACCTGTAACCACAGTGCTAGGGAATCAGAACCAAGAGGATCCCTGGGGCTCGTTGGCCAACTAGTCTAGGAAAGAGGATGAAGACTCTATCTCAAAAATGAGGTAGGAACCAATCAAGGAAGATATAAAGTCAACCTCTGCGTGCACAGGTGAATGTAGCAAAAATACACACACACACACACACACACACACTGAGAAAAAAGGGACAAGTTATAAAAGCACAGATCATCTCAAATCAAGCTATTTTGGGAGGACACCCCCTGTGTCTTTTAACAAAGGTTAACTAAAGGTGGCTTTGAAGAGAGATAGCTTTCATGTAAAATAAAGTTGAAAGATGTAAGACTAGATTTAAAAGGATGAAGAAAACCATCTGATACTGAAAGGAATGTGTGTTCAAGGTGAGTGACAGCCAGGCTGGGTCTGAGTCTGGCTTTGGTGACAGACCGTTTCCTGACCACTGTCTTCCAAGATAATTCTTGCCCTCTCTTGCTCGTAGATGCTACGATTGATTTCTTTTAAATGTTTTAAGATATTGATTTATTTTAAACATTTCCAGCCTGGTTTTGTAAAGCTGGTAAGTCTTTGCATGCTTCTTATTGACTCTGTTTTTTATTTATGCCTTAAGGCATATGACTAAGAAGAGCATCGTTTGCTAAATTGAAATAAGAAGGAGATAAGTGGCAGATACTCAGAGCAATCCTACCCTGAGTCACTGAGGTGAAAATGACTTTCTTCCTGCAGCAATTTATATCTCCGAAGGAGAAGCATTCAGTCTGCTCTGGACCTTTAAAATATGTATTTTCCCCTTGGACGAGACAGTTCTTTCCTTTGCCAGTATTGCTCTGCAACCCATGACTATATTTCCCAGATTTGAATCTATCTCCTCACAGATACCCACTGCCACTGTTACCTTCACCCGCTGCAAACCTGCTGACCCTCACAGAGCAGACCTGGAAGCATCATTGCTGAGTAATCTATCAACCCAGTGCTACCATCTCCTGGATACAAGGGCAATTCAGTCTTGCATTTACTCTGCTGAGAAGCAACGGGGACTCGGGGCTGCAAAACAAACGGGAAAAGGGAGCTCTGCTCTCTCCTCATGGTGAAGCCATTGTTTTTCTGCGCAGTCGGTAAAGACCAGAGGATCCAGGTGGCTTACACGGCAGTAAGAAGCTGGCTAGAATCAACCTCTCTCCCATGTTTTCATTACAGTGAATAGATATGAGAGTTGCCATCTTAAGCATTCTAAGTGCATGTTACCTTGCTGTCAAATGCATTCTATAATGCTGTGCAGCCCTCACCATCCATCTCCAGAGCTCATCGCATAAAGCTAAAATTCTGTTCCCATTAAATAAAAAGTCCCCACTCCCTCCTCCTTGTGGCCACTGGAAACCAACAAGAATCAATGCTTTTAAGTAGGAGGAGGGCAGTCAGTAAACCGCAGGATGTGCAATTGCTTCTCATAACCTGAAGAAGTTAAAAAGTAAAAATTAGAAACCCCTTAAATGACACAGGGATGTTGGGATAGTGCATGACTGAAGAAAGCCATGGAAGTTGATACGTACTTTTAAGACAGCCTTTTCAAACACGGGGATAATAAGGAAAGGATATGGAATCAATATTTTCTTTTGTATACGTTTCTGTATTTTTGTAAGTTTCTTCCTTGTGTTTGTGCATTTGCATGTGTGAAGATCCACCAGCACGTGTGTGTGTGTGTGTGTGTGTGTGTGTGTGTGTGTGTGTGTGCAGAGAATGAACCAGGTTGTCTTTCTCTGTGCTCTCTAGGACAGGGTCTCCTACTAATCCTGGAGGTCAGCAACCTGCCTAAACTGGCTGGACAGTAAATTCTAGCACCCCTTGCTCCATTCTACTGTGCTGGGGTTATAGGTGCACACCACCATGCCTGACTTTTGTGTGGGTGTTGGAGATCCAAACTCAATGCCTCATGTTTGTGAGGCATGAATTTTAATGACTGAAGCATCTCCCAGCCCCTATTTTCCTAAGTTCCTATATGATATTGTCACTAACTTTAGTATAAAGACAACTTGGATTCAAGTATATATATATTTAGAAGAAGTGATTGTGGTTCATGTTTTACTCTTAAATAACCACTTGGCAGAAGAAGCATGGCTTCTCATCATTGCTCCAGCCTTGAGTGTTTTGGAAGGGACGTGATCAGTCTTGTGCAGGCTCTGGAGAGAGGCTGAGAGCTAGGGCACTAACCCAGGCAGGGAATCTGCTAGAGGGTTTCATCACTTGGCAGTGGCATTATGGCACACACAGAACAAGCTTTCAAAGCTCTTGGTTAGGAGGAAAATTAGAAAGTCACACTATTAGATGATCTAGGCAATTCCAAAGCAAGGGTTGAGAAGGTGTGATTTCCAGGGGATGACTCAGTTACAGGGAACAACTGCCTCCCTCCTCTCCTCTCCTCCTCCTCTCCTCTCCTTTCCTCCTTCTCCTGTCCTCTCCTTCCTCTCCTTCCTCTTCTCTCCTGCCTCTCCTCTTCTCCTTCCTCCCCTCCCCTTCCTCTCCTCTCCTTTCCTTCCCTCCTCCCTCTCCTCATGTATGTATATGTTTGTGTGTGGGGGTAAGGGTATGGGAGAGAGAAAGAGAGAGAGAGAGAGAGAGAGAGAGAGAGAGAGAGAGACTGAGAGAGATTGAGAGAGAGAACATGAATACAGGGATTTGGCCACATGGCCCCAAGATGTTTATCATGATTAGTGACCATATACTGATTAGTGCTGACATTAATAGGAAAGTACTGGAATTTTCCAGGTCATTGTGGAGAACAGAAGGGAAATACGGTCAGCTCGAACATCAACATTTTCTTCTTTTCCACTGTGCTGAGAATAGAATCCAGGGCCTTGTGTGTGCTGTGCAAAAGTTCTAGAATTGTGCAGTATCTCTGGCCCTGAATCTTTTCCTTTAAAAGTAGTAATCCATCTCAGCAGTGCTCCCATCCTTCCCGGACTCAACTCTTCTTTTCCCCAGCCTCTCCTCCAACCTCCATTTCCAATGACCACACCTCCTCCTGTTTACACCCCACCCCCTTCTACCCTGGGTGCTTGCTCTGCTCCCAGGGAACAAGTACACCAAGGCATGTTGGAGTCTTGCCACAAGGAGGGTGATGTGTCCCTCTAGAATAGGCTTTGAATGCTAGCAACTACATGTCTTTTCATCTTACGGGCCAGAATAGCATCTGCACTGCTTAGGTTTTGCTAATGATACAAGCTAGAGTCATGTGAGAAGTGGGAACCTCAATTGAGAGAATGCCCCCATCATATTGGTCTATGGGTGTAGCGGTGAGGCATTTTCTTGATTGATGATTGATGTGGGAGGGCCCAGCCCACTATTAACAGTGCATCCCAGGGCAGGTGGGCCTGGGCTTTATAAGAAAACTAACTTGCAAACCAGGGAAATAAGTCAGTAAACAGCATTCCTCCATCTCTGAGTCAGTTCCTGTCTCTAGGTTTCTGCCTTGAGTTCCTGCTTTGGTCGTCTTGACAATGGACTGCAACCTGTAAGTCCAACACACACTTTCCTTCCCACGCTGGTTTTGTCACAGCAACAGAAAGCAAACTAGAATAGCATCTTTTATTCTTGGGGGATTGGGGCCAGGGATCCCTGGATGAGTAGGAGATCTTTACTAAATGCAGAGTTACTACATGAAAGGCACATATTTCTGAGAAAGAACCCAAGAGCAGACATGTTTACTATTTAAATCTGTTACAAGGAAATATTGATAAGACCCAGCAGGTGTGTTGTAATCTGGTCAGGCCTCCAGAGCAAAGGAGGAAAGGAGAGATCCGGGGCCCAGCAGCTTAGCTGCCTCAAGAGTTGCGTGTGTGCGTCGAAGCTTTGTTTTGGCTTTCTGCAAAAAGGGTTCAGCATCAGGACTCCCACTCCCGGCCAACAGAAGCATCAAATGAGTCAGCCAATTTCAGAGGACCTGGCATATAAACTGGTGATGCTAACCACCGTGGCCAGAGCTCTCCATCCTCTGGTTTGAAGCCCGTCCTTATATAAACATGACTCCTAATTTTTGTCTGTTTCACACTACTGATGCCTTTTCAGCTGAAACAACCTGTACCAGCATGTTATGTTTCAAAGCACTTCTTCCTGACCTTCCGAATGCTACATGGCAGGATATTCCGGCTCCCCCTCCTACTTTAAAATTGTTAGACCATCATATTCTCCTCTGACACTACAAACTTACAAATTATTAATGGAGATTATAGAGGAGTTATTTAATATATATATATACATATATGCACTATACTTTTCCTATAAAATTCTTAATCACTTGTGGTTGGTTTTTTCCTGATTAATTAATTCAACATTCAAGTAAAGAAAACAAACCATAAACCTATCTCGAGCAGGCCAACAATTGTGTTTTATAGTTCAACACCTTTTTCTGACCAGTCTAGAAGTCACAAACATATGTTACCTTGGCGAAGTCCAACTTCCTGTCTGTAACATCAGCCTGGAGAATTTTAAAGGCGATTTGATCATTTGTACTATAGCGCGTGTCCAGTAATCCTAGACAAAAGGAGATGACACGGCCACTTTTAGTACACAGAAGGATAAAATAGAATGTGTAACTTCCATTTTACTATAAAATTTAATGTCCCCCACTCCCACAATATACCAGCCAATTGCAGCTCAAGTATATTATGAGCTATGACAAAACCTATGTTTTTTTTTCCTTCACTTTTCCAGCCACTTCTGCTCTCAGAGTTCATTATTATTGATTCTGCTACAAGAGTCCTTCCCCATACAGTTGTTCCTGTTCTTTAGAGTCAGTAAGTGCTTGAACAGATGTGGCTCTAATCATGTTCCCATTGTCCCAAGTTTACACTCAGAGAGAGAAAACCACATTTCTACATTTCTTGGCATCTCTAGCATCAAGGCATAAATACAAAACTGACTTTGGCCAGCTTCTCGATACAACCATAACTAGTTGGACAGTGGGGGACCAGGTACTGACGGCCAAGCCACTTTAGAGAGCGTGAAGATATTTGGGGGGTAACATAAGGGGATTTTGCTATAAAGACAACAAAGGCTTTGGTCAGGCCTGAATGAAGAGAAGGAGAGACACATGGGCAAAACTTCTCTTGGCTTAAGTTTCCTGATGGATGGAATCTGCCCTGTCTGACTCTTAGAACTCCAAGCAAAGGAAAAGCATCTTTGGATGAAAGCAAGGAGCATCTTTAAGCTAACTTGGGTCCTGAGGCAGAACTTACCCATGGGTCCACAGTGACAGTGACCCCAAGATCTCTCACAGTAATATTTGCCAGGATGTTCCTACAGAAATGTGAGTTAGACATAGGAAGACCTGACTTGGGGAGTCTGTGCAAAAAATAGCCAGAGATCTAGTCTCTTCAGACCAGGGGCAAAGCATGCTCTCCCCAAGACCACATTCTGTAGAGTGTGATTTTTCATAACACTACGATGAATGATGCTAGTCCTAGAGATTAAAACTGTCAAAAACAGGCTTTCTAAATTTAACGTGCTATGTCAGAGTTCTAGAATATGGTGACATCAGGGTGGGGGTGAGGACTCCATCTCCAGCACTATAAAAAGAAAGATTCCCTTCTTCTTTAGATAGAGGTTAAAGCATTTTTCAGAGAAAAAAATCATATGCCACAGTACTGTCAAGTTTGGCAGATTTGTGAAGGGGCCAGGATTTGAATCTGGGGGTTCCTAAGGGTCACCTCTAACCCACCCAAAGCCTACCTCCTTTATATCCTGTCTTTGAGTGACAATAAACTTCTGTCATGTCCTGACTTGGGCTCTGGCTCCATCAATGACTGCCACTGAATGACAACGGGTCATTCAATGTTGAAATGATAGGAGCGGCGGGGCTGCGTCCCCAACACCCTGGCCGCTTGGCTAGCTCATGTCCGAAATAACAACACACAAACTGTATTCATTTAAGAACTGCTTAGCCTATGAACTCTAACCCTTATAGGCTAATTCTCGCACCTGGACTAGCCCATTTCTAATGATGTGTGTAAGCACCCCAAGGTGCGCTTACCGGGAAGAGTCTAGCCTCCGTCCATCCTGGTGTCTCTGCTCCAGAGAGCTAGCTGTTGGGTCTCTCCGGGAGCAGAGCAGAGTCTGACCTCACTTCCTCTTCCGCCCAGAATTCTATTCTGTTTACTCCTCCCACCAATGCTTTAACCTATGAGGCCAAGCAGTGTGTTTATTACTTAACCAATGAAATCAACAGATTGATATATGATACTCCCACATCAATTCAAGGTGATGCGCACTGATTACTTTCTGTGAAGCACTAATATCAGACCTGAGGGGCTTGGTGGGCTCCTGTGCAATGCTGATGCTTCCGGATGACCTGAGACTGATGGAGACAGAAGTCATCGGGTCTGCTTGTGTAGCATGGCGTGGGAGTGAGAACATTAGAATCAGCACAGTCTTGGGGACTCAATGGGTTTTCATCTGCTCTGCTTTGGCCCTGGCTGGTCCTCAGTGTATCAGCTGTGGACCTTGCCTTCATCCATAAATGCAGGCAATGGTACCACCTACACAAACACAGGCCTTCGCCTCACTGCCCAGGGAGATCTTCATTAAAGCACTTTGGTGAGGTTGGACTATCAGGTAAATATGCCATAAGTGGCTGAGGGTGCTACTGTTAGAGCACAGGCCAAGGTGGCCCCTGCCAAAGTCCAGTAACACTAATGTGGTAGTACCAGTGGTCACACAGACACTAACATTGAACCACAGAGACCCAGGGCTTGAGTTCCAGCTCTGGGTCTATGGAGAACTTTGAGCACACTGTTTGGCATACCCTCGTTCCTCCTTGTGTTATAGAGAATATGAAGGTGGCTACTTCACAGGTTTACTGGAATAACTTGAGTGACACAACTAAGTTGACCTCAGTGCAATGTGCAGAGCATAACATTATGTCATAATAATCACTCGCTACTGGGAAGAGCCTCATTTCTAGTGGGGGAAAGGGAAGGCTGCTAGGATTGGGAAGCATTGGTGATTGAGTATGTATAAGCTTCCTATGCCTGCTGTAACAAATGGCCACAAGACAAACACATCCTCTACAGCTGTGGAGGTCAAGTTCAACACTGGGCTAAAGTCAAATGAGCAGCCCAGCACTTCTTTCTGAAGGTGCTAGCGGGGGCATTGCTTTCTTGGACTTTTCTTGTTGCTAGACACTGTCCATGTTCCTTAACCTGTGCCTGCCTCACTCCAGCCTCCACTCTTGCTGCTGTCCCTTCTCCTTGACTCTTCCCTACTGTTTCCCTCGAACAAGGATTCCTGGACTAGAGTGAGGCCCCATGGACAATCCAGGGTACTGTCTTCATCTCAAGAATGGATGAGAACATGGGCTTATTTGGGGTATCATATTTCCTGTACTATAGTATTTGGGAAGATTCAAGTAGAGGGACTGAAGAACCTTCAAATATGAACATTAAGTCTATATAACAACACAGAAAAACATAATGACACACCATAGAAAGGAACCAAAAACCTATGGAGCTAGTGACTGTGACATTAATACCATGTATGAGGCAATCTACAAAAACAATAAAATGACTCATGGAAAAATGTCCTTAGGTGAAAAGAACTGCCCTGGGTTGTAGGGCCTGACCAACTGAAGGATGGATCAGTTAGAATTTATATTTGAAGACTCATTCACAGCTGAGGTAGTAACTATAGTCACATGGCTATACATAATTTTTTTTTGTTTTCTTCATCTACAAAGTCATAATATGGGACTGATGTTTCTGAGCCCTCATTGTCCCCTTTGCTGAATTGCTACCCCATCCCTTTGCTTGAACAGCATCTTCACTCAGGTCCCTTCTATTGAGTACCCTTCACTGGCCCATGGATCATCTCTTAGAGAATGCTCTATTCTTGATTCCTTCAACTTCTGTCTCAGGGCTTTGTTTCTTGGAGGAAGAAGCTATGATGGCTAACCGTCCCTCTTTTCTACCCCATAGCAGAGTTTCTCCAAGGGCGCTCCTCCAGCAATGGGGCCAACATTAGATGAATTGATAATAGACATCTGTTCTGGTGGAACCACCCCCAGATCTACATACTGAGGATCCCATTGGGAAGCTTAGATATCTACCCATGCTTCAGCCAGTGTTTCAACACACTTGAAGTAGCTCAAGTCCCACAGTCTAAGACTAACCTCCCTTATAGACATTAAATCTATGACCACGAAGGGAGCCATGATGTTTTGATTTAAAAGCTACCTTGCAACTTGCAAGAATCTGGGTCCCACCTCTAAACAAGGGGACCAGAGGGGGCTTTAATTAGTATAAACCTACTGCAATGCTAGCCAACTGATATGTATGATGCAACTGGTTAAAATTATTCAATGATCCAATGACCCACAGTCACCCTTGCTGGTGTGTGTATCAAGTCAATATGACTATGAAGATCATCATAGGAGATTTTTAAACAGAAAAATGGAAAGGGGTGGGGAGAATGGTGGACAAGCAAGCAGATGACAAAGCCCGGGGGGGCAGGGAACGTGGAGCAAGGTAAAGAATGAAAAAAGACAAGAGCTAGTCATACTCTGATGACTCATAGGATGTACATATAGCGTGATAAATTCCTACACATTGGCCAACACAGCTTCAGCTGTCCCGAAGAACAGCCGACAAGAGCCACTGTGTATTGCCTAATGAATCAATCCATCAATGCCATGTGCAAACAGGAAGTGTATGGATCGTGGGTGTGTGCCTGAGCGCACTTCTTTCTGCATCTAAGTTACCGTGTCAGAGGCAAGATATACTCAGTCCCCTCTCCTTCTACTGGGGGATTTTGTAGAAAAGCATTTCTAATCTGACAGGAGTCAGAGGGTACTCTTGATTGCCTCTGTCTCCTTAACAATAATTCCTTTTACCATTTTAAAACACATTTCGTAAAGAAAAATTGCTTAAGATTTAGATTTAACTGTCTCCGTGGGATTTAACCTCAGTTAAGCCTCTAAAGATTTCTTCCCATTTGGGACTTCTAGAACAATGTGGTCTTTTGTGAATTTTTCTGGGTTGATGCCTTCTGTTCACTTCTGCTTCCTCTTAACACACCCATGTGGAACAATCTCCCCAGGGGGTCCAGGTCCCCTTGATGAGCACCACCTTTAAGCTCAGCTGCTCCAAGTCATCCCTGACTCAGCCTTCCCCAAAAGGAGAGCATTTAACTTCCCTAGAGTTCAGCACTCCATCCCTCTTGTCTTCATGCTTGGTGAGCATTCATACCCCACTCTACCTACAGTACAGAAGCCTTACCCTTTGCATCCCTGCCTCCTCTCACTGCCAGCATCCTCCCAAAAGGCAAAGCTAGCCTCATGGAAAGGTTCCTCTCCATTGCATAAGTATACTTTCCCTGTGTTCCCTTGTCTCGGCTAGGTCACTCCTAGCCATACCTCCTGGCAAGCTAAATCCCCTCAACACCACCGGCAGTGACCTTGAGTAGAGACTCCATGGCTTAAAAAATTTAACATTGGCGTACCATGTATGGGCACCCAGAGGCTCAAGAGAACCAGGACAGGAATCCTTGAAACAAGACTGCTTCACATCCCGGCTGTGGTACCTTGAACATCTTCGCAGCCTTGAACTGTCTCACAACTTGATCACACATGCTGCCTCCCAGCCCTTCCTTGGGCTATCTCCTAGTCCCTCGGCCATACACAGTACAAAGTTACCTCCTCTCAAAGGAACTCTCTGACACGCTCCTACCTGCACACCCAAGGCTGTGGTAGAGTCTGTACAGGTTGTCTATAGATGCTGTTAATAGATTGCCATAAACCATGAGGCTCACAGCAACAACAGGCTATTCTCTTATAGCCCTGAAGGCTGGAAACTGAGGTATCCATAGGGACAAGCTGTGCTTCCCCTGAAGGCTCCAGGGAAGGGTCCTTCCTGTGACTCTCAGATGCTGGGCATTGCTGGAAATCCTTCGTTTTCTTGACTTGTGGCCACTTGGCTCAGACCTCTGCTTCCATCTTCCCACAGCCATCTTTCTCATGGGCTTATGCCTCTAAATCCTTTTGCCCTCGTAATGATACTGGGTTTAGGGACTACCCTACTCCAGTGTGATCTCCCCTTCACACAGCCATATCTTCAAAGACCCTGCTTTCCAATGAGGTCATACTAAAACCATCAAGGGTTAGGCCTGGAATATCTTTTAGATGGGAGCAAGTCAACTCACAGGCCTGTCCCAGACAAGTGTGATGGCATGTACTGTTGTGTCTGTCAATCAGCCTGACTCCTAACATCCATCTCTCTTCCTGGAACTTGGTACCAATGATGTCTGGTCAGTTGAAGCTACCAAGTAGACACCACACAAGTATAACACTTATACTTTGATATCTGTGAGGGGGAAACCAGAACGTACCTTCCCTAGACAGTTTGATCATGTCCCACTGATGCTTCAAAGCCATCTTACTTCATTTCAAAGACCATCTAATGATGAAAATGTGCTTTGCCAAATTGAGGAACATGGCCACAGTTTGAATCTGTTGCCACTCTCAGAATGAGTCAGGTTTCCAACCTTCCACTCTGGTCTGGCTGATGAAATCATTGGAATGTTTACCTAGCAACCAGGCGGTGGATAGCCAACTTAGGGTCGCTTCTTGTCACCATTAATTTGGGGGTTAACATCTGAGACTCATTTGACAAGTACAATGAGTTTCATGAGAATTGTTTAAAAGCTTCCTGCTGGGAACAGTTAGACCTGAGTGAGGAAAAAAAAAAAACCTCTAAGCACTGTCTGGAGTTGGAAGATTTATTCCCAAACTGTCCCTTCTTTCTTGTGTTTCACTTGCTATGACGATGTCAGTCACTAAGCAGTGAGTCCCTATGAAAGTTCCTCAAGAAAGCTGCAGAGATGTCTCAGAGGTTAAGAGAATGGATCACTCATAAAAATGACCTGAGTGGGTTTTTAGCACTGACACCAGGGGGATCTGAACTACTGGTAACTCTAACCATACATGGTCTAACGCCCTCTTCTGGACTCTGTGGAGACTTGCACTCACATGCACACAGACTTACATAGATACACATAATTTTAAAAAGTAAAAATCAATCCATTTTAAAGTTTCTTAGGACTAAATATACTCAGGTAACATGATAATGTTAAAAAATTTAATCTACCTAGTTCTAGTTTTTATACACTACTCTAGCTCAAGTTCAGCAATCTGACAGACATTCCATCTACAGCAATAGCTATTATGGTTGGCTTTTATAAAATCAAGTAAACTATATTTGACCCTAAGATATGGAGAATATTTTCTTGTGATTTATATGTGACTCAATTTGAAGTGGCTTCCACAGTTATTCCCCCTTATCTAGGAAGGGAAGCAGTTCATGACACACGACTGAAGTATGAAAATTGCAGATGGTATCAGCTATCCACATACTATGCCTTCCCTATACTGGGAGACCTAGGACAAAGTGCAGTTTAAAAATCAGGCAGAATATGAGATTGGCAGCAGTAACAAATGATAAAGCATGAACAATCACTATAATATGCTATAGTAAAACTCTCTCTGTGTGTGTGTGTGCTCACACACACACACACACAGATGGAGGGCCAGAAGATAGTCTCCATTATTAATCTTTGGGGTACCATTTATACTTTTTTTTAAGACAGGGGTCTTCCATTGACCTAGACCAGTCAATAACCCCCATGGATCTGCCTGTTTCTGCCTTCTTAGTGTTGAGATTACAAGTATACAACATCATGCTGGATTGTGTGTGTGTGTGTTTTGCATATGCCCATGTATGTATTGGTACACATGCCTATATATGTTGTTGGAAGTCAAAGGAGGGTTCTCTACAACTTTCTACCTTATTATTTTTTTTCTTTTTTGGTTTTTTGATAGAGGATTCTCCGTATAACTGCCCTGGCTGTCCTAAGACTCCCTCTAGAACCAGACTGGCCTTAAGCTCACAGAAATCCACCTGCTTCTACCTCCTGAATACTGGGATTAAAGGTGTATGCCAACACTGCCCTCACCTGCCTACCTTACTCTTTTAAGGGAGGGTCTCTAGTTGAACCTGGATCTTGTCACTTTCCAGCTAGACTGGCAGCCAGCAAGCCCCAGTGATTCTCCTGTCTCTAACCAGCTCAGTGCTGGGGCTGCAGGCCTGCAAGGACAATGCCCAGCTTGTGACAATGGGTACTGGGATCTTTGCAGTTTTCACAGGCTTAGTAAGGGCTCTCGACACTGAGTCAGCTCTCAGCCTAAACTCTGGATTCTTTTTTGCTTTTTTAATGTAGGTTCTAGGGAATCGAACTCAGGTCCTCATGCTTATGCCATGGCCACTTTACCCACTGAGCCACCTCCTCAGTGCATGTAATGCACAGCTTCTAAAACATGAGTTGCTTACTTGTGTGATTCGCCACTTGATACTCTCAGACTATCGCTGGTGATGGGAAACAAGCCATACTCAGGGAAGCCACAGGTAGAGGGAGACAGTTGTGGCCAACCACAGAGTGATGTGCTGTTCAAGCCGTGCTAGAAGCCAATTACGTACTGCAGTTACTGAACAGAAACCCCTGGGCTGAGATGATCCTGGCACACATGAGTCACCACACAAGCATGAGCGATGCAATGGCCAAGGCCAAAGGGGCGATCTGGCCAGCTGCACAACTCAGGACCTTCTATGAAACGGGTCATTTGGGACGGGGACAGCTTTATGTTCTGGGATGAGACATCCACGGCATGGTCATTATCTTGATGAGTAGGGCCTTTGTAAGCAGTTAGGCCACGTGAGTGTCACTGGCTGAACCCGAGGCGTAGCACCATCAGGTCACAGCGGCTGAGTCGGATGGAGGGCTGACCTCGAGGCAGATGTTGGCTAGGCACCGTCCACATACTTTGTCAATTATGGAAGAGAATAAAGACGTTTTAGAAGCCTGTGGATTTTTTTAGTCCTAGGAAATATAACTGAGCAAGACCCCCAGAGTATGAGGCACAGCACCTTGGAAATCTAATGCAGGGGCTCTGTGGCTAAGGGGCAGGAATGTGAGTCTCCTCTAGAGGAGGCAGCATAGGGGCACAATCCTTGACTGTGAAGACCACCCAGCATGGTCAGGCATGCACAAATCCCACATTCCTGGTGAGGCTTGCTCACAATCAGAGCAGCAGTTCCACCACCCCAGCCTTGGAGAAGCACAGCCCCAGAAGGACATGCACACATGACACTCAGAAGTCCCTGTCCCTGAAAAGCCAGAGTTTAATGGGGAGAGGGATGTGACATGTGGCTTTAAAAATTTCTTGTAAACATACAGAAAGCAACATTTCCCATCTCTTTCGTTTTTTTTGTTTTGTTTTGTTTTGTTTTTCGAGACAGGGTTTCTCTATGGTTTTGGAGCCTGTCCAGGAACTAGCTCTTGTAGACCAGGCTGGTCTCGAACTCACAGAGATCCACCTGCCTCTGCCTCCCGAGTGCTGGGATTAAAGGCGTGTGCCACCACCGCCCGGCTCTTTCATTTTTAAGCATGAGATTTGGTGGCATGAAGAGCAGTTATATTGCGACACAGCAGTCACCACCAGCCAGCTCCTAGAACGTCTCATCTTGCAGAACTGAAGCTATCCTTACAAGATAAAAAAAAAAAAACTCCCTGTTGACACCCCTCCAGCCCCTGGCTCCTAGCCTTTTACCTTTATGAGTCCCCAGCACTAGGAATGACATCTGAGGTGAACATACAAGCAGCATTTGTGACTGGTATCATTCACATAGTATAACATCCTCCGGGTTATCCATGTGTGGAATTCCTGTCCTGTGAAAGCTGAGTAGCATCCTGCCGTACAGATAGATGCCAATCTGCCTATCTATTCATCTATTAGCTGACACCTGGGATGCCTCTGTATTGTGGCTACATGAGTAACACTGAACACAGCAGATGCGCAAATATCTGAGTCTTGGCTTCTCCTTCTTTCTTGCAACTTCACCTTGGTCTTTCATTCTGTGACTCTGTCTTGATCTTACACAATATTTTCTTAGGTCGATTATAGTTCTTTCATATGTGGAGACTAGGGGACAATCTTGAGCACCATTCCTTAGACTTTAGTCAGATTTAGTTTCTGATGTTGTCATTGGCCTATAATTCACGACTGTAAGGTAGACTGGCTGTCCAGCCAGCCCAACGGAACCACCAGCCTTTGCCTCCCCAGCATTGGGATTACAGCCTGAACAACTGTGCCCAGCTTTATTATGCTGGTTCTTGTGGGTTGAACTCAGGTCTTGCAATCTCCACAGTTTTATAGTATCTTCCTGAGAAGTCTGTAGGGGAGGGAGGCAGATACATAGACCATATTCGCAGCCACATGAAAGCCACCGTTTTTTAAAAAGTTATCTTTTTCTTCTAGGCTACTGCCTGCGTGAAGTGAGGGGGAAATGGGAAGTAGGTTAAGGCCCTGATTGACAGTGGCATGGCTGCAATTGAACATAGGCCATCAGTGTTGTGTGGACCACACTCCTTCGGAAGGGATTTGGAGATGAAAGGGAAGGGGAGACTTCTCTTTCCATGAGTCATCTACAGAGTTAGTGGGCAGCCCCACTCAGGGAAAGCAAGGTCCAGGTGTGGGTACTAAACATCCTGTCCCTCCTAGGAATCTAAGTGGAGAACCATGACTCATGGGAGTAGAAAGACTTGGTGGAAGAAGAGCCTCTTGTCTTTGTTCCTCTGGCCCCATCTGGGAAGAGTCCAGGCAGGCAGCAAGGACACTAGGTTCCAGACCCCCACTCAGCTGTACCCTAAGCAGCTTGGCATCTTTCAAGGACTCAATGCCCCATCTCTTCCTGGACTGCAGAATAGTGCCCTGTTCTCTCCTGGAGTCCTGTCCTAACATAACTGGGACATGAAGTGTTGAGGACGTGTGAGCCAAGGTACGTGGGAGAGGGTGGCAGTCACCACTTGAACTTTGTCCTTTCATTAAGAAGAAATTGGCTTGATTTTCACTGGGCTTCTTAAAACTATGCTTTCTTCTTCATCAAGCTTGTTGAACACAAATCACTATTCTACCATACTGAAGTCATTCAGCCATTTGATTTCTGGGGAAGTCATTATCCAGGTGGCTATTGTCCTGTCCCTTTAAGAGACAAACCCCGCCTACTCCCTCCCCCATCCACCGTAGAGGCAGGTGAATTTTCCTTCTGCTTCCAGACTGAGCTTCTTCCTTTTCTGGTTTCTCCCAAAGATGCAGCTTCTGCCTTGCTCCCTTCTCCCCACTTCTCCCCTCCCCCTGTTTCTCCTTTTCTTTTTCTGCCTTTCTCTGCTCTTCTCCCTTTCCCTTCCATAACCCATTAAATAGATATCCAACCTCACTCTGCATGGTATGCCTATCCATCTCAGTCTCTCACCCACCATGCAGGGCTCCTTGTGGGAGTGGTTGCCCCACCAAGGTCTCGCATCCACTAGGCGGCTCCCTGC